AAGCTCGCCCGGAAGCCGGTATCGTGGTTTCGAATCCAACACAAGGCATGGATGTATGGTGTCTGTATGCGTTTATTGTGTGTTTGTGTTGTCCTATGTTTAGTTAGAGGCCTTGCGACGAGCTGAGAAATAAGCTCTATGCTCCAAAGTGCGAGCGAGAGGGGAAAAATGGAAGAAACGAGAAATACATACATGATTTTGGCCAGAAAATCTGAGGAAGAAACTACATGAAAGACTAGTCAAAGATATTATTAATCGTATCTCTAAGAAGTAGGAAATGAGTTGTCTATTGGATTCAGGGGACCCAGCAAGTTTCAGTAACGTGCATTAGTGAATACGCCAATGAAGCTTCCGGTTCTATTAAACATGTAGAACAATATTTTGACCAGCTGAAGATCCGTCAGCTTTTCGAGGACGTTAATGAGTCACATCTGTCGGTCACACGCCAATTTAGATGCTCAATGGTGCTTGGAATGTGCGCTAAAGCTGTTGGTAGAATGCAACACAGAACCATATGAGCCCATTATAACCCTTACTTCAGTTCAAATCAACCTTCACATTTTTTCCGGAAATGCTGCTTATTCAATAAAACTGACAGAATTGATAACATTTACATTTCGGCCGGGATGTCAACATCTTTTGTGATTTTCCTCAGTTTCACGAGGATAATGCCAGGCTAGTACCTTTAAGTAGCCAACGATAGTTTCCTTCGACATCGTCTTCAGTCTATTGTTCATTATAGTACGATCTACATTCTTGAGTTTCATTAAATGAACTGCAAATGCATGCATAACAGATATTCTACAACTTTAATTTGAAACATGTTTCCATGTGTATTTGACAATAGCACGAGGAGATGTAATGATTTACCTTATTTGTACAGCTTGGTTAGTCTAGTAACAACAGGCTTGTTTGTGTCTAAAGGGAACGATCAAGACCAGCGATGAAAGAAAAATTCCAAAGAACTTGTATAAAAATATGTGAGCTCTAATGGAGATCGTAATTCTCTTGAACGTGTTCTTTTACCGTCATCTCTGTTAGGTACCAAGATATTCGACATCTGTTTGCAGACGTGAGTGAGATATTCCACAAGAAAACATCTTCAGTTTTCACCGTTCCGACTTACCTATCTCGCGGGTTCTCTGTTGTAATTGCAGGCTTAACGCTTCGGTTATTATTTTGGTTCAAGGCACGATATCCCTACTGCTTTTCCTTGATTTTCCGCATTCCTTCCATGCAGATGTCCGGAATGAGGTATCTTATGATCACTTATTTCCACATTCCCATTCCATCAATTGCAGTCAACCTGCTATTCAATCTATGTAGACAACGCGTCATTAAATAAGGAAATGGAAGCAGAATATTTTCAGCGGAAGAGAAGTGAAGGATCTGCCACATTTGATACCTGTTCACTTCAGTCGTCCATGGTACTTCGTGATTAGGAGGCCAGTCGTTCGTACGCCGGCTGATACACGTAATTTGTAAGCAGGGCCGCAGTGTGTTAGTACAGTGTCAGAGACTTTGGTTTTGTCTTGAAGCTTGAATGACTCTGTGGCCGCATTTAATACTGTCACGTGTCCGGTGTTCCGTGACAAATAATTGTGGGTTGCGGATTAGGTGAAGCTGTTTTATTGAATTCGCAACTACAATCACTTTGAAATAACGCCTTCCAGACGATGCGACCGCCGGTCACGGTAGCCGAGCGGTCTAAGGCATGTACTGTCTTCGTACTGCCGGGATCGTGGGTTCGAATCCCACTCAGAGCATGGATGTTTAGTTTGTGTGTGTGCGTTTTTCTGTGTTTGTGTACAGGTAGAGGCCTTGCGACGAGCTGATCACCCGCCCAAGGAGCCCTACCGAATGTGTAAGATCTAGAAAAACCGAAGTGAACGGAGAAGTTCATGGAGGTAGGCCTAGGCCCACTGGGGCTGTAGTGCCAAAAAAAAAAAAAAGACAATGCGACCTGACTAGTCCGTCATCTCTGATCTGACCTGTGATCTGGTCTTCTCCCGCTCTGGTCTTCTCTTATCTCTGCTCCCACTTCTTTGTCTTCATAACCGCTTGGCCTACCCACTAGAGGACACCCAGTCGAGTCATTTTTTTTATTGCTAGTGGGGTGGGACTAAGTCCCTTGTACTGCGGCCACTTCTGGCCTATTGTACCAGCCCCAGGTGATAGGTGAGGGTAATTGTGGAGCAGTTGGTGGAATGAAGATTGGCAGGGGAAACCGAAGTACTCGGAGAAAACTTGCCCCAGCGCCTCTTTTTCCACTACAAATCCCACTTGACCTTACCCCAGGATCGAACCCGGGCCGCCGCAGTGGGAAGCCAGCGACTAACCGCTTGAGCTATGGCGCGGCCTCAGTCGAACAATTAGTCCCTCCGTAGTCATGAAAACCACACCTCTGTTGTACAGGAAACATCTGCTTACGTTGCTTAGGAAATGTCTGTTTAGGAGTTGCAACCTATGCAATGGATGTCTCCGTATGCGCTGTATCGGGAACGTGTTTTAACAGCCGTTGTCTAGCAGTAGACGCCAGCTCAGATATTCTGGCTTTTAGGCGGCACGCCACAATACGAATGCCTGTCAGCGCATTTCTTAATATTATTAAATTGATACGGGATATTGTAGTCTACTAATGAGTGTACACCCGACTTCGCCACTTTTGTTATTCTCGACTGTCGTTATGTTAGACCGCAACTTAGAAACGAAATATAATATAATGTCAATTTCGATACTGGCATTTCCTCCACAGTGAACATTACGGTTATGCTGTCGTAACTCAGTCCGCGGGAATTGGATTGTGACATTTCATCCATTACAAGTGCAGTGGTTATACCAGAAATAGTCCGAATTCAAAGAGAAGGTGAGATTGAAATTCATACCTTTAAGAGATGCAGTACGAAACAATTGTGGCTGTCTTTGAACGTTATAGCTAGAGGCTGTTTCTGTTTGCGTTGCGAAAGGTATATACAACATCTGGATTTTGCTGGTGAATGAATCGAGCCAATACTCGGCTGTTGCATGATCGAATGAACCGGACTAGCACAATCAGTGAAGTGACAGGACGGCTGAGGTTTATTTAATGACATTTTAGTAACTTAGAAATGACGTGGAAGGAAGCGATCATGTTCTAATTTTGTTGTACTTTCCTTTAATTTGCCAGGAGGAATTGAGGAACCACGAAGAACTTCGGTAGGATAGTCCGTGTTCCAGCCACAATTCGAACCCAACACTTCCCGAACACAAGTCTGAAGCGTTACCACTTGAGCCAGATTCGTACGGTCGAGGTTAGGTTATCGACAGGAGCAGGGATTCTTCTGACAGCTGTCACGCCAAGTTATGCCTTGCCGTGAGCTCAGACTGTCTGTTAGTCGCCGGCTTCCCACTGCGGGTGCCGGGTTAGAGGCTAAGGTATTGTAGGATTTGTGGAGGACAAAGTGACACCGGGGCAGATTTTCTCCGAGTACTTCTGTTTCTCCTGCCAATTCATATTTCACCGACTACTCCACACTCATCATCATCCGGGGCTGGTACAGTAGGCCAGTTAGTGGCCGACGTCCACCTCATGACTCGTAGTACGCGGGTTCAAATACCCGGCGGAGGTCGTCGAATTTTTAAGGGCGGAAAATTTCAGGGAACAAGTCCTCCGGGAGGGACTTTAAGCCGTGGGTGCCGTGTCGTAGCTTTACGGCACGTAAAAGAACCTCATATCTCCAAAGGAGGTCACTGAGCCAAATTAGCGGACGTTTCCCGCCCAACAACAGTCTCTAATACCTCCGGTAGATGGGGGAAGAATTATAGATACCTCTCAGCTAGTAGAGCCGGTCTCGCTGGCTGGGCGGGACTGATGGTAAGCACCAGTACCGGTAGGATATAGAGACTGGTAGAAATCATAGAGGGAAGCTCAATGGACCAATAAGGTCTAAGTGCATGGGAAAACCCACCCTCTCCAATAACTAACTAACTAACTAACTAACTAGTGGCCGACGTACCAAGTGGACTCAGTCTCACTCCACCCCAAGAAACTAAGCTGTGCCTTGACGTTGTCTGCATCCATTCTGTGCAGAAGATGTTTCACAAGGGAACTGCAGTAGCCGTTTGTTTTGGACTCCTGTTCGGATCGCATATCAGCCCCTCTACCAACAATCCCTATTATTTGCGTGGTTTTTCTCAGAGACTCCTGGATAATACTTGAATTGTGCTTTGCAGTGGGGCACGATCGACCCTTTTCAAATCGTGGCCTTCATTGTCGTGTTCCCACCGTATTTGACTCAATAATCTTCTTTTCCTATTAGGCCCTCTTGCCTATTTCCCATGCAAATTGATTCGGAACTATGAGTGTTGGAGACATTCGGTATGACTCCTTGAACAGGTGATTGGCCCTTGGCAAGGTAGCTACCTACACAGGGCAATACAAACAGGAGAAAAGCGGACAGACATCCATGCCTCGAGTGGGTTTCGAACCCACGATCGCAGTCTTTAAGCGGGCTAAGACATAGCTCTATAATCTCTACAGCCGAAACAGCTTCGTTATATAATATAAGAATCAATGATGTCCGATGACGAACGTGTATTGGACACACAAAGTGGTGCCAAGTTTAGCGTATGTATTGCCTCTAGATCTGGTCAAATGCTTACATGTGGGTGGTTCTTCATGGCTAATTGCCAGTGCTGTGAGTGTTGGTTGACGTGGGGTCTACATTGTCACGACCTTCCGGTCTTCTGCTTCCGGCCGATGTACCCGCAGACTTTTTATACATCGCCGGTGTCAACTGAATGCGCAATTGGCTTGTCGAATTTGGCAAGAGCGAAGATTAAAAGGATGGGTGCATTAGTTAAGCAACAGTTACATAGCTGTAAAATCCTGTAGTTTTCTCCGAAACGGCAATTCCTACAGGCTGCTGCTGCTGCTGCTGCTGCTCACCTATGTACATTGTCAATTTAGAAATTAACTTTTTAAACAACTTCAAACTTTTACGTTTTCATTTGTAATTCAGTTCTGCAGCTGTGCAACACCTAGCAGTCCCAATTGAGTCGAATTGCCTAATGAGGTTGATTCGTAGACGTCCAGATGTTGTGATATCTGCAGCTGGAGGGGAACTGGACATCTTCGAGATCCACTGTCAGTTGTGATTCAATTGTAAGCACGTAGAATTAGTGAGTTATGCAAAATAATGTGAAAAAGTTTCGTTCCATAGATTTGTAAATTATGTTAGAAATGGTCACCGTTGTTCTGGGAACCAAATGAATCCCGTGTATAATTTCTGTGGGTTCAATTCCGAAATATTTAACACTGTGAATGTAGTATATACAAATGGGTAGGCCTACCAGGCGGTATCACTCACTCACTCATGGAGCTGAGCCCTTCTTGAGAAGCTGCCAATTGTGCAGCTACTCAAGAACTTACCAGCATTTTATGGAACCAGAAGGTTCATTACCCTGTTCACAATAGCCCTCCAGCGGTTCCTATCCTGAGTCAGATCAATCCAATCCATACCATCCCATCCCATCCTATCTCTCAGATCCATTTTAATATTGTCCCCCACCTACGTTTTTGTCTTCCCAGTGGTCTCTTTCCTTCCGGCTTTGCCACCAATATTCTATATGCATTTCTCCTCTCCTCTATTCGTGCTAAATGCCATGCCCACCTCATCCTCCTTCACTTCCTTATTCTACTTATACTTGGAGAAGAGTATAAGTTATGAAGCTCCTCATTATGCAGTTTTCTCCAACCTCCTGTCACTTCATCTCTCTTCGGTCCAGATATTCTCCTCAGCACCCTGTTCTCAAACACCCTCAGTCTGTGTTCCTCCCTTTATGTCAGGGACCAAGTTTAACACCCATACAGAAAGAGAATGGACATGAGATTTGGTACATGGATAAACGACCAGGCGGTATAAAGAGATAAAATAAAGGCCTCCACTTCGTACACGTTCATTCTCCCACAACTTGCTGGCCTATCGAGCTTCTCTTGACGGTGTCCAAAAGCAAGTAAATGCAGTGAGGTGAGCAAATAGCCCAAATATCCCATATACTCCGGACACGATTTCACGTGCCCTGCAGTTTAGAACCGGCTGTGTAAAAAGTATTGTTTCCGTCTGCCTTTCATTTAACGCTGCACGTTGAAAATTGTGAGGTTTGCGGCAGGTAACTTTAGCACTTGGAAGTAATAAAGAAGATAGAAGAGAGAAAATTAAGAACACAATAGATCGTGTTAGTGGGTTATATAACGACTGTAGTGCTTCGGCCGTAGAACTGAAAATGTCCTATATTATATGATATACGCGGTACCTATTTTTTATATAGCGAGCCATTTCTGGAAAAAGCAATCGATTTGACGAGTTTCATACGAAGCAGGCCTAATGGATAAGTTATTATTAATGAATTTTACCTGTCAGAGTCCGTTAAAATCTAATAGCCTTTCAGTTAAGAAATGCCTCACATTTTCTGCAGCTCAAGGTTATGCTACTGTGTTCATAAGAGCCAGTCGCCACCCAGCCCCATCCTGAACCAGATCAATTCAGTCCACTCACATCACCCTATTTCTCTACACTTGCTTGTAACATTATTATCCCATCTCTGCCTAGTTTTTTCAAGAGATTATTGTTATTGTTATTACCGAAATAGGTAACCAAAACTCTTTCTGTCAATCACACTATATAGTGGCTCTTTGTTAATAATAAAATCATTAACTATATTCAGTACAAATGTATGCACATTCTTTTGTCACTGGATAATGTACCTATTTAATTTTCGTTATTTTATAAATACAGTGTGCGCCAAAAAAAATACAGTACTGAAATGAAAAGACGTCCTGTTGATACCGCTGTCTATTCATGTGAAGGCGCCTTGCACGACAGAACCTTCTCAAATCCTGAAGAAACGGTCCGATCACCATGTCCCTGTAACGTTCTTGGGTGACGGTAAGAGAATTGCCTTCCTCATCCTCAGTGAAATAGGGGCCTAATATACCGTGTGCTGAGACGGCACACCATATGGTCACACGTGTACTGTGTAGCGGTTTCTGGACGGTAACTTCTGACCACTTCCGTATGAGCGGAAATAATACTCAACCATGAATACTTTTTCCTCCGTCGAGAGACCCATTTCCAACAACTGCACAACATAACTTCCTTTTTACTACTGGGAACACGTGCGGCTGGAGCTATGCCCCGTCGAGAAACGCACATGCACGTTCGAGATGCGCGAGTTTCAGTCCTGCATGTTTTGGCGCATACTGTAGTACTAGTTGCCTTGTTTTGTCTTTGTTTGCTTGTATATGATTTTTTGTTTCCTTCTTTTACTCGTGCTAGCTTTATAATTGGACTTTGGGTTGTGAAGCAAGCACGTAACTCGATAAAGAATTGAACTGAATAATTACGATTACTTAGTAACAAGTATAACGAATATCTGTCTGGTAGGCTGCCAGCAATGTCCTAATGTCAAGTCCATTTGTCGCAACTGCAGGCGTTTGGGGCTTTGATTTGTGTAACGACCAGGGCCCGGAGTTTAATGACCGAAAAAATCCAGAAAAGTGACATAAAATGACCGAAAAATCCAGAAAAATTATCTAAAAGTTAAAAAACTACCTAAAATGCATCATGTCATGGAAAATCCACTAATTGTTTTAAAATGTATTTTAATCTGTATTAACACTGAACTTAACGTTACCCTTTAAATTCGTCCTCGTTTTTTTGTTGAAAATTAAGCAATATATGATTGAATTTGAAGCAAAATGTTTTAATACGATTTTTTCTACCGCGTTGGAACGCTTATCAAATGTACATATACGGTATATATTCCAACATTTAAGTCTTCATTCAGAGTTGCAATAGATGACAGTCAACATGCGGAGATTCTCGAAGGTGAGTGAACGCCTGTTGTCTGACGCCTCATTCTTGTACTTGGAGAAACTCCTTTCCACATCTGCAGACACAGTGGGAGCGTACTTGAAGTGTACCAAATCACTAGCAGTTAGTTCCTCTTCAATCATGAAAGTGCTGAAGGACTCTCCTGTCAGAATTCCTGTCTCCTCTCAGAAATTTCATAATCTGAATTTTTATCTAGAACATGTTTCATTTTTCTTGACACCATTTTACCAATGTCTCCTGACATTTTCTCCAAATCACTGGCTATTTTTTTTCACAAGAGCGAGCGAATCTTCCAGCGTTGCTTCTTTCTCCTCTAAGCATTTGATTCCTTCTGTCAAGGAACTGAAATTTGCCTTTATGAAGGCCAGCTGTCCTTCCATTTCGCTGCACGAGAACTGTTCCTGAGCAGCTTCAATTGCCCTCGCATCCTCCGTCTTCATTGAACCTACAGTGTTATACACTACCTGAAAATGATCGCAATAGTAAATTGTAGCATCAATCCACGTTCCCCACCTTGTGATTACGGGTTCCGGGGGCCGTGGAACACCAGGAGCCGTAGACTTAAACTGCATTTTACGAGCCTTGACGAAAATCTTCTTCGTCCACGACACGAGAGCATCCACTTGAGAAAATCTTGACCTCACTTCCTCCGTCACTCTATGCAGTGCATGTGCTTGGCAAGTAACGTGCACCAATTTCGTATGAAACGACTTTATTGACCTGCCTGCTTTTAAAAATGTGGGGCCGCATCGGTCACAAAAAGCAAGACGACATCGTGTCGTATACCCTCTGGCCACAGTACAAACATCGACCTGTCAAAGAGTTTACAAATTGTGGACCGGTTAACGGATACTAGCACCTCACTCGTAAGCAGAAACACTTCACCTGGTCCATCAATTTCCAAGGTTCCAAAGCTGACGTTTGCCACGTAGCGAGCCTCCGTATCGCAGGTCTCGTCAATAGAAACGAATATCTTCTTCCCATGCACTTTATTCCCAGTCATTTCCAGGATATTGTTGTAGCACTGGGAAAGGTAGTTCTTCCTGAGGGTGGACTCATCCGGGATAGAACGACCACAATTCACTTCCAGAAAATTTTTCAGTTTTTCATAGCCCAAAACGGAATATTTGCGGACACCAGAGAATCACACAGATCTGTGACTTATTTCCACCTTCAGATGAACACTGTTGCAGTAACATCTGCACAGATTTCTTTTTGTTCGAAATTTGCACTGCTCGTATATGCTTGTTGCGGTCGGTATTTTGTACCGTGAAACATTTTTCTATCGCTAATTTTGTGTCGCACATCTTACAGTATAAAATGTTACCGTCAGTTGAAAATATATCATCCTCAAATTCAGCTGCAGTCTGCTTTAACCGACACGATTTAGATGGCCTTGCTCTAGGCATCGCGATAGAATGGATCACTCCAGTGCAACACAGAACTGAACTTTTCACACTGAGAACCCTTCGTCAACTGTATCTTTGTCTGTACGGTCAAGGGCGAGAAACTGAAGACAGACGGAGTTTTATTGAGCAACAATATGTCATAAATAGCGAGGGATTCCGACTAGAAATATTTGTGACTAAGCAAATTTCTTTGCACAGAACTTGGAAAGGGCCACAGTGTGAGTGACCGCTGTCGTACCCTCCTGCCAGCTTAAAATGTTTTATGATATGTAATGTGAGCACTTTCAGCAAAACGAACGGAAAGGACGGGGCAGGATTACAACTTATTATTGCATACTGTGTTAGCAGGTATTTGGGGGTGCAGCTGTAGGCTGCTTTTGTAGAGGCAAGAGAAAGAGAAAGATAAAGAACACTTTACTTGCACATTATTCACATTTCTGAAAACATGTGAAGAAAAATTCCCTAAAATGGTTAAAATGACAAAAAATACCTTTTAAGAGTCCAACAATTTACCGGAAAATTACTCCAAAACCGAAAAAAAAGGCCTGAAAACTTAAAAATGACAAGAAATGACCTATAAAAGTTACATTTTTGTAACCATCAGCTCATCTCCGGAATTTATATATTTACGGGCATCAAATAGGATACAAGGAAATAAAAGATGGCATGTCATCAAAATCCGGGCCCAGGTATAACGACGCTTACTTATTCTGCTCTGTTGTTTAGCCGTGTAACGTGTAGCATCGAATGAAAAATATGAATGAAAGTACTGCCGTGGTATACATTAAAAGCTCTGTTTGGCCGTAGGTACCTAATCTGAAACCCGATAGAACCCAAGACAGGAAATCCTACTTAGCCGT